TCTGATTGGAGGTTTCGATTAATTAATGTAGCATTGGCGCATACATTTTGTTTATGAAGTTGTCGTTTTTTTAACTTAAAAGATTTGATCGTTAGATTGGGCATGGAGTGGCAATGCATAGCGAAGGGAACCCCTTTATTGCGCTTTGGCCCTTTCTCCTAATTCCGTGGACCTCATACTTTTGGGCTCCGGGAATATTCTTGCGCGTATGCGATTTGATGCTTTACATCAGCCGAAGGTAAGAAGAGTTAACTCGCTCGGTTATATGAGAGTCACGATCATCCAAATTCATAACTCTTTTTTTTCAATTAGGGATGAACTCGAAGCATGGTACATTGGGCTTATGTTAATGGCCTCGGCTGGTTACGACCCTAGGCTTGTGCCGGACTTTGTCAAGAAAATGGAAATCGAGGAGGATGACGATAAGTATCTATTGGACACGACTCACCCTTGTTTCGGGCGAGTAGCCGAGATGCTGAGCCAAGACACGGTGATGGATAAGGCGGTCGAAATATACGAGAAAGTTCGGGCCGGAGGCGAAGTACCGAGCTTTGTTGAGGGAGGGGAAAGAAATTTTTGCAGCAAGCTTTTCAACCCTTTTTCAGTTACTCAGTTTTTTTCTGAATTTAAACGAGCTGCGAAGTAGTTGCTTTGAATTAGTATGGCAGAAAGAGGGTGATATTTAAATTTGCAGAATATGTAGAGCAATAATAGTATACTAGTTTGTAGTAGACTTCAAGTTGTTTTGTTAAAATTGATACATTAATGTTGGTAATTTTTCCAACAATCAAACTTTGCAAATTATATGGGTTGATCTCTACTTGTTTAATAGGGCATGTTTGGTTGCCCATGTTGCTATTGATATTGATATGAACTGCATTTTTTTTTCGAGTTATTTATTCGGCACAAAGGGATATTATTATTTACTATTGACTAGTACGTAGCTCGTGTGATGCACGGGATAGAGATATTAAATAATTTATTTTCATAGAGTTTGTCTGTTATACAGCTCGTGCCCTGTACAGGACAGACATTTCCATATGGTTTGTCTGTTAACGCCTAAAAAATAATAAAGCTGGATAATTTATTTTTCACCTCATTTCATTAGCGCCATTTTTTTTGTCGGGACGTTAAACATGAGCATGTTAGCGCTAGCCATAAATTAATATATATATTATTCCGGTAACACGATCATAGTAATATAAATTTAATTTTAGTATATATATTTATTCCTTAATAAAAGAATAATAACAATTTCACTTATTCATGTTTCTCATATAATACTTAATTATTATTTTATTATAAAAATTTTGTAATATAATGTCATTATTATTATTTATAAAAGTTATAGATGAAGTCTTCTTCTTCATTTTATTTTATGTAATGAAAATATTTAATGTACGTTGATATTATTTATTAATATAATTAATTTAAATTATGTAACTAAATTTAAAATAAGATATTGTGTACTTTAGATTTTTTTTTTTTATAATAACTAAACATTTTTTATTTAATAATTGCCAAAAACTAAATTCCTACTATAATCAAGAGACTTTTCTAATTTGCATCGTAAGGCTTTATAGTTTATTTAGCATACTATGCAATAGAAATATATGTTAAAGCATTTTACTATGAAAAGAAATCAAACAAAAAAAAAGATAAATAAATAATCATGGTTAACAATAATATACAAATAAATCACATGTTGAAATTCTAATGAATAGTTAATTTCTTTCAATTTTATTATCTGGCCATTAGCAAATTTGATTGATGTATCTAGTCGTTATTCTTCTAAATGGCAAATTACATTAATTAAAAAATTAATTTATTTTTATTTATATATATATATATATATATATATATATATATATATATGTATTGACATAAAGATGAAGAGAAAGAAAATTACCTAACATATTACAATTTTCCATAAATATTTTAGAATGAAAATTCAATATTTGTGGAAAAAAAATAATATGCTTAGAATTTAAAATATGTTTTCATGTCTATCTTGACAATAAAATTTTCTACTTGTTGGTCTGAGATGGATAACTCTTAGCCTAAATAAGATGGGCCTTGAGCCTGCTTCCTCTCCTCTCCTTTTAGTCGAGATACGAATAACGCAAAATTAAATTTGTAGTTTAGTATGATGAATATCAATAAAATTATTATTGATTTTAATAAAATTATAAAAAAAAAAATACTCATTTGATTATATTTGATTTGATCTGTTTTAAAAGTATGTATATAGAAACATATATTTCAAACGTTTCCAAAAAAGGTATGTATTTAATGTTCCAAGATTTTTTACTATTTTTTTTAATAAATGATGATTATTCTCTCTCTCTCTATATATATATATTTACTTTCTAGGAGTTATTCTATTTCCCCAAGAAGCAATGGATTACTATTTTATGGAGCTGAAATACTTCCCACTTCTTATTAGGAAAACCAAACAAATTAAAAGAGTCAAAAAAAATATGCATAAAACAGTACTAATATAACTAATATTATTGTGCACAAGCGCTACATATCAATTAACTCACGCACATATTATACAAGCCTTAGCCATGTCCCTCGTGTTAACAAGCCTCGCTCGGCTCTCGAGCCGCGTGATCGACTTCGCGTTCGACCGGTGGCTTCGGAATCCGCAGTCCTTCTTAACGGACATGAGCACGCTTTCCTTAATCCTTTCGTGTAGGCTTAAACACATTCCCATATCCAACCAACTCCGTTTGGTCTTCAATTATCCGTCAGCCGAATCTTTAAGCGACTCGTTGTGGAAGGATAAATTCGTCAAGGCCGAGGCCGCGAGACTCAACCCCGGGATGGCTCGAACCTCACGGCCGTTGCGCGTGCTGGCCAAGCTCGTTCGCGCGCTTATTCAAGGGCTGAGGCTCGAGCACGATTCCCGAGTTTCTGTCGGTTATGCTGATCATCGAAAATTATTGATAGGTAGGTACGTAGTCATATATATCACTTGTATTATGTGTTTTTGGTCTCATAATTTATTGACTTAAAATTGGAGACTCAATTCTGTCCCGAACTAATATATAGTCTCGTGATTGAGGTGATTTACTTGGAAAA